TTATATAACTTAATTTAAGTTCAATAATAAAACAATTTATTTTTGGTTTAATATTATAAAGATAATAATTAAGTATTCTTTTAGAACTTAGAATTTAATGATTATACTAATTAAATTTTAGATTTTTTATATTTAAAATGAAATGTTTATCCTGTATTTGATTGTGTTTATCTGCAGTTAGTTACACGAATTTAGATATGAGATGAAATCGGATAGAGATGAAATTGTTTAGGGATGAACTGGTTTAAGAGTTTTTAAGAGTTTTTAAGAWTTTTAAGAGTTTTAAGAGTTTTTAAAAGTTTTAGTCAAATGCTTTATAAGATAGTATGATTCACTTAATAAGTATATAAGGTAAGTTCTTTTGTTAACCAATATAAAAATGTTAATTTTACAAACTTTTGTTCACCGATCAGAAACAAGTTATACGTTTAGCTGATTCACATGATGGAGGTATTTAATGAGGAAAAAAATGTAATTGTCTATTTGGTCTTACTTTTAATGCATAATAATTTACAGTTACATTTTCTAAAGGGCCGTTTGCCAAACACTTATCTGGTAAGTGTTTACTATTAAAATTTAACACTATTATTTACTTACCGGGTAAGATTTTGGTCCATCAAAATGATATCGTATATATGCAACAATTTTCCCGGTAAGCGCTTACCATGGTAAGAGTCGTTGCCCTCACTTACCGGGTAAGACTTTTGGTCTTTGTCTTGCTCTTATCGGGTAAGATTTTTTGGTCCTTACCATATTCATTCAATAAAGTAACGTGACTTAGTGTTCACTTACCCGAGTAAACATTCGTTAAACGGCCCCTAAGCATTCCATGATTTTAGCCTTTGTAATGGATGTTTACATGTTCATAAGTAAACATGTGAGCAGAATAATAAACCTACATATTAAACAATGTTCATAAAATTGAACCTACATTAAACCTAAGACTAATGTTACACATTGTTCATAACTGAATATGTGAGCACCTAATACAAATACCAAAGTCAATAAATTTGAAACACCATTGTTTATGACAATCAACTTAAAATCAGTGTTCGAAAAGCTCGCCTCTAACCACAAGGGTGGTGTCTGATTGGTTTGAACGTAGCTCCAAATGTCAAAAGTACCTAGAGGTCTCAGGTTCAAATGTAAGAAGGAATAAAAATTCCCTTGTGGCCACGGAGGTTCAAATGCGGTGACTCCGGGCTATCTGCAAAGCAGCTGGTTACCCTGGGATTAGTCAGCTCACA